TAAGAGTAAGCAATCTTGTAATATCTACTGTATCTACTTCTCATGTAGATTCTAGGCTGCAAACTTGTTGAACCAGAACCAGCAGTTTCATAGGCAAATCTCTTTTAATGAAGAAACTATTATGCATCCTCTCCAAATTCCACACCTGTACTCTTTGACTTCCACTCCTGAAACACCTTGTTTACATTTCCCTGATCCAAATCCAACATCATCCACCTCTGATACCCTTCATGCCACACCAGCACAGTGGTCTTCACAATCATCATTGTCTACCAATTCCTACTCTACCTCTACATCTTGCCAATCCCTCAAAGCCTTGGAAGCTACAACACCTTGCCATCAAAGCAATAATTCAGCTACAAATGAGTGTTCTTGGCCTTCAACAAATTCTGGTACACCTTGCCATCAAAGCACAAATTTGATGGCCAATGGGCATTCTCAGTCTCTATATTCACTAAGCCCTAGTTGTGATACAAGTCCAGCACCATCTCAAGACCCTGCTATTGACTTGCCAAATATTTTCACACTCTTGACTAACCTTTCTGGCAATGTCAACTCCCTCCACAGTGACCTCCAAGCTGCTATCTCAGCCCTAGATTACTCAAGAAGCCCAATGTCCACAAGAACATCCCATCACACACTTTATTGGCCTGCAGATACTCCTTCTCATGTTCAAGAACAAGAACATATTGACATGATGGTCTGTCAAACATGTATATTCTATTGGTTTTTGCTAATGACTATATGTACTGATATAGAGCACAGTATGTAACAAAATCAGAGAGAAGCTATCCATTAAACAGATGCAGACATTGGAAGGGTAATGCACAACAAACAGCATATGGCATTGCCAGAGAAGGTCAACAGTTTTGATTATGATGGGCCTGGCCCCACATTGGTTCCATTTCATCCATATTGGGATCATACCTGCTCTCAATGGAATTGGGACTTAGCTAAGCTGCTCATGGATGAACTTGTGACAGAAGGTTCATTCACCTTTTTATCTCTGTTACTTGGCTCTAACTTATTGCAGGGTATGAATTCAATGGCAATGCAAGGCAGAAGGCAGTCAAACATGTTATACTATGGTTAGATGTCCCCAAGAAAGCCATGAGATGCCAACTACCAAGACCTAATGAAACTGATGATTAAGCAGCTGAATGGGCTGGATCTCAAGGAATGATTGGTTTGGCTCAAAATCATGTAACAAATCAACATCAATCTGTGAGTTGTTTTTTGTATGCTTGAGGGTATAATAGTATGGCTGACACTGCCATTAATTAACAGCTTTACCATTCTTAGCTTCAGATCTGCAAAGAAGAGTTTGACATGCCTCAGCATGCTATCTAGTGGGCCCTTCATTGAATGGTTCTTGCACTCAATCAAACAGGCCAGAGCTCAGATGAATTGGAAGAGGAGTCTGACAACATCTTCACTATATGGTCCCAGCCATGGCATAGCTCAGAAGTCACAGAAATTTTAAGATATATTGATAGTTATCAAAGAACTACCAATAACTATAGTAACAACAGAGCTAGAAAACTGTTTAGGACTAGGCAGCATGTTTGCAATCCACCTGAAAGCCATTCTATACCTGTTAGTGGTCTACCAGAGAACTTCTATGACCCTGAATAGCTTCTCACACAACCTCATCATGCTCAATTGAACACACAGGATTCAATTACACTTCCTGAATTTGATCTAACAAATGGATCATATGTTTGTTGCTGCATACCTGTACATGAGACTCACACATCTGCTCAGGGATCTATACCAATAGGCTACATCATCATGTTGTCCTACACCCTCATCATTGCATTGTGCTATGCCATTGCACTTGAGTCATGCTACACCATTGTGCTCATGCTCAAACTCACTGTCATTCAATGCAACTTGCCCATTATAAGTATGTGCTCATATGCTAGAATTGACCCAATGCTTATATGTAGTAGTAGTGATGATGAAGACATTGAAGATGTAGACAACAAAGACTATGTTAAAGATAGTCAAAAATAGGAATAAGATCTTTATTAGCACCAGCTATCAACTCACCTCTCATGTTGACAACAAGTTGATGTGGACTTCCTTATCAACTCCCTGAGCTACTCACTGTCATGTCAATTACTGTTGCTTTGGCAAATTTCTATTGTACATATTTTTCAGGGTTTCTTCCTTGTTTACAAAGCTCAAAAGCCTCAAGCACAACCAAGAAAGGGAGGAAAGTGCTCCTCTGCCCTGGTCCCCCTTGAACAAAACTTGATGGCTTCCTTCCAACATACCCTAAATCAATACAAAGGCCCACAGTATCCCAACCAACAATGTCAGACCCCTCCCAGCAACCCCACCACAACTCTGGACCCAGCCACTGCCACTCCAACACCCACCCCCATCAATTCAGAAGCCCTCAACATCAATATCTACAGAGCTCAAAGAATATGTTTTTTCTTGAGGAATACTTAAAGAGATAGTTGGACATCTTCCATCTCTGTTTTTGAGAGAAATTGATTTTTTTATTAAATTTTCTATATATTGCTGTTGGAAAAAGGCTCAACAAAAGGTAATATCTATATGTTGGAAACACTTGGGAAATGAAAATCAACTTTTCCTAAAAAGTTTCTATGAAAAATTGCTTACATATTTACTCAGGAAAAATTATCTGGAAACTGAGTGACAGGTTTCCTGATCAATTTTTCCCTAGGAAACAGGTTCAGCTGCCAGCAGTGGAGGTTGCTGATTTTTTGTGCTGTAGTTTCAATGGGCTCAGCAACAGATGCATAAGTGGTTAAGGCCTCATAAATGAGAGCAACCTGCTTGACAGGACCTTCTTGGTGAGCTCTAGCTTTCAGAATGTTGTAACATTCCTTGGCAGTGCCATCCATTGCTAGATCATCCTGTTCCACTTCAGACACAGCCACACAGATGACACCAATGATGAGATTGCTGTTTGTGAGCCAGTTTGCATGAGCTACAGGTTCAAAGGAGGGGTTGGATTTAGTTACTAGATGATCCAGTTTGTTTTTGGGCATGAACACATAATGGTCTAATCTGCTCTGTTGGAGGAAGATCTCAAGTCTAGTCAACCACTTTGTAAACTCCCCAGTTGTATGATCAAAAGAAGCTATAGTTGTAAGCCAGTGCACATTTAGCTTTGTGGAGCAAATGCAGGGATATGTGGCATTGGTGTTGATTATAGAGGCAGGGGAGGTGGTATCAGATCTCATGAGCCTTATGTAGAGTTAATGAGGATCTTGGGGGGAAGGAGTTTTAGGAAACAAAGAGTTCTTGTAGAACAAAGACTTCCTAGATAGACAATAGTGTGCAGGTATGCAAACATGTATGGACAAGACAGGTACATGTTCTGATAGGTGCAGTTAATCAGGACTCAGGGTCCAGCAGTGTAATATGTGGAGTGTCTAAGGATTCAATGTCATCACTTTTTAAAAAGTGCAGCAGCAAAGTCCCAAAACTGTTAGAACCTTATGATGCTATCACACTGAATGATAAATAAGTATATATTCTCAGTCAAATACAAGTGACTGATAATTCATCATACCTGAATGATAAGTAAGTATATATCTATGGTATGATGTCAGAGTCCATTGTGTGTGATATGCAATAAAATAACTTACCCTCAGTTGAATACAAGTGACTGAGGGTATCATATGTGAGATACTCATATATATAAAGATCTATAGACAATGGGAGACAATGGTGTCATTGTAATGTAGTAGAGGGTCAGGGGATGTTCTTGTGTCACAGAGTCAGCCATGATATGAGGTTGATGGTGCATTGATCTGGTGTATTGACTGGAGTCTTAACAGGTTTATAAAATACTTTTACTTTTCAATTTTTACAAAGCTCCTTATCTATTTAACTATTGCCTTTATGCTTTGTCAAAGCCTCCTTTTTCCCTTAATAAGGAGGTATGGCAAAGATTCAATAGAAGAGACCCAGAGAAATTGCAAGGAATACTCTAGTACAAGTGAAGTCAATTTGCAGCCAAGCATGATTAAATGATATTTTCAGTCCCCAAAAAGAATCCCTTGCTCCTCTTTCTATTTAGACTTCTAATCCAGAAAGTAGGAACTCAACAAGCCAAGGGATTTATAAGGGGAAAGGGACTCTTTAGGGTTAATTCCAAACAGGGGTAGACCTTCCAGTATGAAAGGATCAATAGGATGTGTTTCTCCAATGTACCAAATGTTGGTAATATTTTGTTTAAGACCCTTATCTCTTTTAGAATCAAGGAAAGATGAAAAATAACTGAGTTAATCCTTTTGAACTTTAAGGTATTTGAGAAGATGTCACAAAATGGGAATGCATAGTTGGGTAGCCACAAACATAATAGATAAGTGCTGAATGTCTATCAAGCAAGAATCTGACCCCTAGATACTTTAAATATGATTATACATCTTAATTCCCAAAATTCTTTGATCCCTAGTATGTAGTATGTAGTACATAGTTACTCCTTTCTTATCAATCAAAAGATAAGGCACCACCTAGCCTTTTTATGAGGGGAGAGGAGTATTATTGAGTATAATCTAGATTAAAAATCATCAATTAAGAAATCAAACATTTCTGGATAGGCTGCAAATAGAACTATTGTTAAAATAGTTGGTTTAGCAGTACTAATTTGTAAAAAAAAACTAGATGCCAGAGGATTGATCAGAAAGAAAAATAAATAAAAAATACTACCTACTATGTAGGCAGGGGTCCGCAGAAAGAGCTTCCTTCCCAATTATACCATCGACCCTTAAGATTATGAAAAATCGCGTTCTGATTCGGAAGCTCATTTGTAGCGGGGTGCTTCCAGAGATTGTTCCACACTCACCTGAAGAAGCATAGTTGTAGTGAGTCCCTGAGAGACTGTTCCAGAAAGCTCCTCCTCTAGGTTCGCGATAACACGTGGTCGAACACGACCTCTATCCTTTCCAAATTGGTCTTTATGAAAATAGCATATTTTAATCCAGCCATTGTAAATTAAACCTTTGTAATTATAAGGGTCGATGGCGTAGTTGGTTATCGCATCTGTCTTACATGATTTCACAGAAGGTCCTCAGTTCGAGCCTGGGTCGACTCATATTTTGCTTTCTCTTCAAATAACTGTAGACACTACCAGCTCCAAAGAAATCGCTATTGTAATTTTTGGAGTTGAACCGACAGACTAAAACCCTTCATTCTGATCAATTTGTACACAGAAGTCCAGATGATAAACTGTTATATCGAGTAGGTCCTTGGATATGACCCGATGTCCATCAGGGCCATGACTGCTTCTATCTTCACAGTTGAACCATATAATACAGGCATCTCTGCCGACATAATTACTAGCCCTACACAAGTTTAGAGTATGTCCTAGAGTACCAGGAGCAGAGATTGTTGACGATTGTCCTGCAGGCTGGGGTATAGTGTTCATTAACAATCAATTTGGGTGGTAACATGGATGTTGGAAGTATGTGTATTGTGATTAATGATATCTGCTGCCTGGAGTGTGATGTTGTTCGGTGCGTTTTCACTCGTGCCCACTCTACCCACAGTCGTCCGCAGAGAACCACTTGCAATTTCGAGCAAACGGGAGGGCATCAATATGGAAGGAGCTGACAATAATGATGACAATGAGACATGTCCTCAGAAGCGCACCGCCAACACATACACCAATCATCTCGAGAAGGACAGATCTAACGTAGAGACCATCGGTCACACTTAGGCAATGTGGTATATACTTGTGCTTGCGGACAAGTACAGCAAGGCAAATCATGCTGCATCCCAAGAAAGGCAGAATAGTATAAGCAGTGAAAGCCGCGTTCTTTACCAACAAGCCCTCGCAGATGACAGCATTGGTGGGATTTCCAACAAAGAGAACCATGCTCGCAGTATCTGCAACTGCAAACTCAGCTATAAGCCATGATACAGAATTAAGCCACAATATAATGGTATAAAAGGAACGCCGTTCCAGAAAGAATGACTGGATCATTACCAAGACAAACACTCAAAGCGGTTAGCAAGAGGTAGAAGTAGAAATACAGCTTGTATCTGTGAAAGCTTCCTTTATTACTAATCCAGAGCGCTGCAGCTTGGAGGACACCAAGGTGACTGCCATGTAAGCAAAGGAAAAGAATAGGACGAGGATGTTGTACGGCTTGACACCATCAGTGTCACTGAACGATACAAAATGATCAGATTTTCAGACCGTCGGATGAAGGGGCCAAAAGGAACCAAATAACATACACTATGCCGTCTCTGATCTGTAAAATGAAAGAATAGAGAATGACGTCATCGATAGGAGTCCTCATTGTACTAGGTCCCAAGCATCGTGCTGCCCATAAGACACCAATGGCAAAGATGGGAGCGGTCGTGAGGTTGGCAGGTGTTTGTATAGAAGCGCGAAGGGGAATATAAACGAGGAATATAACGGAAGTAATGGAAATCATGAAGATAACCAATGTTGCCATCGAATAACCTGTTATCATCGTGAATGCAAATAGAAAAAAAAAGGATTCTTAGTAGTCTTCACGCTCCCGTTGAAAAGGCAACTAATACACGAAGTGCTTCACTCCTTTTTTGAGATGGATGATGCATTGAGAAGAGCCAAGGCAGAGAAGGGCAGCAGCGGAACAGGATAATGTCCGAAAAGGTGTTGACCGCAGAGAGTAAACGGCGTTTATAGTATTGCCGCTCCGTGCTAAGGGTGAGAGTGGCAGTGGGCATCAGTATTTTACTGCAAGCCATCACCAGGCCAAAGCATGAGTTCTGTCAAACAAGATTAAGAAACGAGCAGACCAGCAGAGTCCAGTAACCTTTGGTCATCATGTAGGGAGACAATGAGGTGACATGACGCTTGACCAGCCAGCGCTGAATATGCAATTTGACATAGATCATTTAGAGGAAAATGATGAAACCGGCGCTTGTACTGAGCATGACATCAACAATAGGAACTTCGAGCGAAGTGCTGTATTATTTGTAAGTAACGTGCGCATTGTATGTACCTTTCTCAAACTAGTCAGTTAGGGAATTGACTAAAAAGCGGATCACGCTTCTCGACCTTTCCCCACGTCTTCTGGCTGCCTCGGGCTCAGAAACGAGAACATGTTGGATACAACTTGAATATACGGAACAGTTGATACACCTTATCCTAAGTGTGGAGTGCTGTTTTAATTTGTGGAAGAGGATCGCTGGTCATACGAGGGTTTGTAATCTCGCAGCAAGATCACATGCATATGTATCTGGAATCACAAACGTTGACTTTCAAAAAATATTGACGTCTAGATCGTTGCGCGTTTATTACAATCGACACCCCCTACACCGTTTCGAAAATACCGCATGCAGCACACGCAGTCCCCCATGCATCAGGCGCAAATGAGGCAGAAGCCATCGCGTTCAGTGACGGCGGACCAAAGTTACTGGAATAGTATCATGCCCTTCATTGGGGAAAATATGCCACCACGGATTCCTGCACCTAGTCATCGACACGCTGCCCCTTCTGGTGAGTGGGAAGAACTTCATACGATAATGAGCCAAACTTATTGAACAGGTCCATGGCCTTTTCTCGATCTCAATGATCCAGTGAGTTCTGTCGTCTCGGCAAGCCGTATTGTTACACTCACTCAATGCAGATTAATTCTGAACAACTCGACGACCATAGACCAGCCCTTCCTACACAACTATGCGAACACATAAACCCAGCAAACTGCCGTAGATGTTGGTCTGACTATCCCCAGTCCCATTTTCCGAACTGGACGCGGGATCAGCAGAAACGCAGCAGAATATCCAGGATCATTGAGAAGAAAAAAGATGAAACTTGCACAATACATTATGTTGATGTGGACGAGAATGGAGAATTCGCTATGTCTAATAGTGTGCAAGTATCTTCTAGAAGTAAGGATAGCCATTGGGAGTTCATGATGAAACCTGTGAGAGCTCTCAATCTTTATTATAAACTGAACACATTCATCCACATCCAGCGACCTAAAGGTACTCGACTGAGAGCCATGTTCTTGGAAAATCTTACAGGACCAGTGCTTCAAATGCTTGGCACGAAGTAAGTGGTTGTTTGTGCTCTCAATTCCATTCACCGTCCTTGTTAGATACTACATTGAACCCTTTTATTTCTCCTCTTCGATCGGATGGATACCGTCGAGATACCAAGAGCAAGTCATATCAAACCATAGTGATCGTATGTGTTGCCGTCCTTCTCACCACTATGACCCTCAGCCCCTTCCAGATATTACGATCTCCCTGACTTTTATACGCACCATGCCAAACCCGACCCCTGTCTCTTCCACTTCAAGTCTGACCGCAAGTTCTATGAGTCACCTACCAGTACTACCCAACACAGATCAAGTCATTGACGCACAAGCACCCTTGTTCATTCGGTCAAGTTAGTTGCATTGTGTTCGAATGACCAGAAAGTGATATCAACTCAGTTGATTATTAGGCGACCGCATCCTCCTTCCTGACCTCCTTGCACTCCACATGGTACGCTCACACAACAGCAGCACCATCATCTCATACCATCCTGGCCACGAGCATCGTTCTACTCCCGCTGCATCCCTCCATTCCCGCTTGAATGCCGTGGGTCATTCCGTTTATTGGAGCAATATGTTTGCGGAATATGATGATCCGACCCTTGTGTTCCTGTCTCTCCTATGGTATGCGCTATATGCATGGGATGAAGTGCTCGAAGTGCTGTATGCACATATTTGTTGGGTTGTAAGTGTCTTCCTTCCCATCCCAATCTATTCATGGATCTCATCGTATTAGGAATCTCGTGTGATCAATTTGAACGACATCGATCTCACGCAAGAACTCCATATCATTCAAGCTCATCTCCTGCATTATGGTTCTCTGCTCGAGGACTTCCGCAAGTCTGTCATCTTTGTGCTCAAGACTCCATTCCCAGGGCTTGACAATCCACGCTACACGCCGCAACTCCGCGAACGTTCCAAAGGGCATATGGAGAAGGAATGTAACAACTTGCTCAGCGAGATTGAGCGCCTTAACATGGCGCGTTCAATGCAGATAAAACGGCTCAAAAATGTGATGAACCTCGTGAGTAGCATAATCATCACCCAGGGATTTCAAGTTCAATGGCTTGCTTCTTTAGGCATTCAGCAGTGTCAACATCGAAGACAGTCGACGGACGCAACAACTAACCCGGGCTTCCATGAATGACAGTGCTGGTACGTTTTTATCAATGCCTATTATTATTACTACATGATTTGATAGCAATGAAACAAATCGCCTATCTCACCATGTTCTTCCTTCCTGCCTCCCTTGTTGCTGTAAGTTCCTCTCTTTATACACTGTTTCCTCCTACCGACTTATCTTCCAGACAATATTTGGAATGAATGTTGGAGAGATCAACCCTGGTACATACGGCACAATCCCTCACTACCTGGCTATAGCTGTACCATTAACTATCATTACCTGTTGGGCAATTGGTACAGTTCAGTTCGAACGAGATCCAAGTCAGCGCGCCGAGACCGAGCCCTCCCTTATGTGGCGGGTACTTGGGCGTATCGGATGGCCGATCATGATGCTGAGAGAGACCTGTTTGCGGGAGAATGGACAAAGAAATAATCCGGGTTCTCAATAGAAGGCTGGGTAACTGATGTTGATATCTCGAACACCTAGGGAACGGACAACGGAACAAACGTAGTATTATCTATATTCTGAATTTATAATAGCTTTATGTATTCAGCTCACTATATCACTATATGGCTACTGCATTGGCCAGTTTACTTTTGACCTAAGTACCACGGTCCGCAAAAGGGTCATTCAGGTTCCTCTTCCGAAGGATGTTCCCCGAGGAGACTCAGCTTGACTGCTACGCGTATGATCAATTACACGTCAAAAGCGCGTGATGATAATTAGTAGACAATCACATCACGGATGTCTGTTTCATGTGTATACTGATAGTCTGAGCAAGCTGTATATACATGGATACCCGTGACAAGACCGGTATGAATCGCGAGAATAATTGAATAAGTATACTAGTGGTATCATAAGAAAGGTAACCAAAAGCAGAGCTTAGATGACGGTGAACGGAAAGATCATAATTTATTCCCACATCTTGTGCAAACC